GGATACTGCAAAATCCCCATTTCCTCCAGATCAGTTGGGACTTGGGAGGCAAAGAATAGATGGGGGCGGGGCCAGTCAGAGGTGGTATTTACTAGTTCTCCGAACTACTCAAAATTTCCACTACCGGTTCTCCAGAACTGGTCAGAACCTGTTGAATACCACCTCGGTATTGGTTATTATCCTGTCCCTTCCATACCCCCTGTAAAATCTATATGCCTAATAATGGATTTATGCAAATTTGTTCTCCCATGAAAAGGAAAAATGGCTGTCTATTGGTTGATATTTTAAGAATTGGGATGGATGCGATTTGAGACCTGTTCCAATTTTCAACTACAACTCCTAAAAAAGTAATTAACTCCCAGAGATACAAGCCATAAGCCTGTCCTCTTACATATTACTCACCTGTGCACTGGACCATGTTGTATCTGGTATAGTTTTGACTTATGTGAAATGAACCCAGTCAATTCTTTATTCAATAAACTATGGTTAACCCAATGATGGCTTAGTGTATTGTATGAAAACAGCATTATTCTATGGGACGAAAGCTAAAATAAATTCAGAAAAATGGTTTTGACAAGTAGTCCTTGTTTATAGTGACTGCTTCATAGAGTGACCATTTACATTTATGAGGGTGATGAAAAAGTAACTTTGCTACTAATCCTCCCATCTATGACCTTGACAGGTCTATAAAGCAAAGGAAAGCTGAAGTAATATAATCAGCACAGCTGTGGTTTCACTTACTGACAGCTTTACTTAATGACTGGATTGCTGGTTCCAGTGTGATTGCTAAGTTAGGATACCTGTAGTTATAATCATCTCATCCAGGGCTCTAATAAAATTATAGTTAAATTATTATAATTCATCCTTAAATGTAGGGAAAAGTTTGACTTTGCTTTTATCCTGATAACCATAGCTAGAAAATCAAATTTCATTACATTTGCCTGCAGCTTTGTATCCTTGGTCATACAGATAGGGAAATCTGGGAGTTTTAATTCAAAAGGCAACCAGATTAGGGAAAACATTTAGAAATACTTAAACCTGACATACAGCTAAGCAATTAAAGCTTAAAAATTGCTTAAGCGT